TCTGCTTCCGCTTCCAGCCGTAACTTTTCCTTTCTCTCCTCCATCACCGCTTGTCTCTTAGCTCGCTGAGAACTCAGTTGCTCCAAAATAAATTTCCTTTTGTCTTCTCCAGTCATTCCCAGTTCATCCGCCCACTCCATCAACTCTTGTTTCGACATATCTTTTATCTCGCTGGCCATGTTGTCTTCTATATGTCTTCACTATTCCCGGACGAGCCCCCAGATGTCACACGCAACGTAATATTACCGTAATTGGTATAGTACAGGTGTGATGGTTCAAATACCAAAATGGCAACAGTAACATAAAGACTTCCCTGGCGGCGATGATAAAATACGAACACAGAGCCAACAGATGAGGTTTCAACTGGTACTGGTATTATTATACTCTGCAAACATCAAGTACAACAACGTGGTAAAACTCCAAACCTCCAATAACTAGATACTCAAACTCCAACACAATTCAACGAGATCTCCGATCTGATCTCAGTGCTGAACAACTCCCCTATATATACCCACACTGTCTATAAATAGACCATTACATCAGCATACATAATGAGTCTGGAACTTACTACAAATTTCTAGAATGTCCCATTACCTATTCAACCAGTTTCTAAAAATTCCACCCAGACACAGTACGGTTCTAGAACATTCTCAGTCACACGGAAGTGGTAAACAAGTCGTATGCGACAGACGGCCAAAGGATAACCAAGTTGTCGGCATAATTCAGTTGTTTGATAAAGACCCCGCCCACGAAATAGCCCGAGTTGGATGACCATAAACAGGTATACCTCTGTCAATCATCTTCCTAAACAAGAACCAATGGTTGGCACGGTCACACATGTTTATAGTGTTCTGCAGCGATTCAATCATCACTGGCAGATTTACCAATGCGCAATTTATCAACGGCCTTTGAGATATAGAAAATATTAATATAGTGCAGATCTCCAAATTGAACGCAGGGAAGCCAGCATTTCACAAATCTTTCATCTCTTCACTAAAGTGTTGTTCCATGTACCGGCAATATTATCAGGACCTGAGCATCGCCCGACATTTGAAGACAATAGAGTATTTTTACTATTAGTGGAGCAAACTTTAAAACGGAATTCCTAATGATCACAATTTTTCATAGCTGTATTTTCCAAGCGTCGGCAAATACATAGGGCAAGTTTAATCTCGCACGAACCAGACACATGGTAGCATACATGGGACCATTTTCAAGTTTCTGATTAACAACAAAAGTACAAAGTATCCAGTGCTTGATCGTGGGTATCTTTAACATAATCATTCAAACAAGGAATATCTCCATTGCGATATCGCTTCGTACCATTGTGTAAACATTGAGAACCTGGACGCACAGCCTGCATAATTTTATTGTCAAACTCATATAATTTTCATCATGGTCAGTACACACATAATTATTGCACAATAGAGCTTCAGGCGGGATTTTGATTTGTTTTCGAAATGTGTCCGTATCATTGTTGTAACTGTGTACATCTCTGGTGTTAACTTTCACCCAATTGATATTCGATCTGTTTAGAGCATTAAAGTCATTCATTCGAATAGTTTCAAGTGATAGTAAACCAATTGCAATATCAACAATGACTTTGTGTGCTAAAACAGAAGACATACAATGATCATGCCATGTGGGGAATTCCGTATTGTCTCTATCATGTCTGCTTGAGGTACCGGACCGGGAAAGTCACTTAAGCTTTACAGTCAAATAGACGCACTCAACTAAATACTTTTTAATAGTTAATTTTTAGCCACATCGAGAACGCCTCAAGGCAACCGCCCTCGTCGGAGACTCTGCCCAGGACTGACCAAGACTCTCTCGCCTCGTGGAGCTCTCTCCGGGACCAAAGACTTAGACCGTTTATTACGTATCAAAACTTAACCAATTACAAGGAACTTTAAAGTCTATAAGGCGTGACCTTCAATAATACAGCCAATCACACTAAGT